CTTCTTACTCCGTGTATTGTAGACGGGCCTTTATTGGTCAATTTCTTACTCTTACTTCTTACTTCGTATATTGTAGACGGGCCTTGAGAAGAATAATCGACTGTGATTGGTCAATTTCTTACTCTTACTTCTTAGGCTGGAGTCCCATGAGGTGTATTTACCGCGTATCGCATAACCGCGTAACCAATCAGAAGCGATCCGCTGTTGTGGTTTCGCGTTTTACTGATTATTGATTGGTTACGCGGTTACGCGATACGCGGTAAATACACCTCATGGGACTCCAGCCTTACTCCGTCTATTGTAGACGACGCCTCAGATGAAAATCCAGCTTTAGTATCTCGTCGGTGATCGCGTTGAGCAGCCAATAGCAGCGAGAGATCACGGATCTTGCACTGTCTTGCAGATCTGCTACGCAACAATTGAATGTTGGACGCGACCAATTTACGTTTGCGTTTTGGATTATTCAATTTGCTTCAGTTATTTTATAATCATGGTTGTATTTCGAAGTATGACGGTGGATGAATACAAGAGTAATTACATGATGTTTCAATTGCTGCACGCGTTCCATCGGACACCATTCGGAAAATGTCTCGTTGCCATAACCGACACCGACAAAAGTGTGACGTACTTGAATTTTATTGACGATGGATACGATGACGAGGCGACTGCTCTCAAAGATCTAAAAGCGAAATGGCCTTTAACTCAAATATTGAAGGATACTGAAAACAAAACAGATGCTGTTATCGCGAAAATCTTTCATCCAGATTATTCACAGCTTGATTTCATTCATGTTTTTATGAAAGGCACGGAATTCCAAATTAAAATTTGGAAATCTTTGACTGGAATTCCTGGAGGAACGGTTACCACGTACGAGGACGTCGCACGGATGGTGGGTTGCAATTCTAAAACCGCAATAGCAGTGGGAAATGCATGTTCTAGGAATTATATTGCCTATGTCGTGCCATGCCACCGTGTGGTAGCAAAAAACACACATGTTTCTGGCATCAAGTATGTTTGGAAAACTGAACGAAAAGAAGCTATCTTGGAATATGAAAAGCAGCTTTATGCATAAATATTATAAATATTATAATGCTCAATTTCCGAAGATCTGTAGTTGCTTTTGTAATTTATAATTGTCACATTTATTTTCATTTATTTTTCTTGCATTCAACCATTTCTAGAACATGTAAATTATGCGAAATAAATGGCGCATTTATAGGTGATAAACGTTTATTTTTCTCACGTACATTAGATCTTGCAAAATTACAAAATTCTTTTTGTTAGTATAATAAAATACAGTGATCATAAAGATATCTCACTTATAGATGAGATATCTTCAAATATTTTTTTTAAATGTCAGTTATTGTCACTTATATTTATATATTTACATTATGTTTTTTCAAGGGCAGTCAGCTATATAACATTGTTAAATTGATTAAATTAGTAAATGAAGGTATTTCTGTATAAATAACAGAAATTATTCATCATTATACATCACTGTACATATGTATTTCATGGAAATTGATATTTTTATGTTTGAATACTAATGATATCTTGAATTACATACTGTTCAAATACATTTATTTTTGTTTGCTCCTAAATTTCCTGCAATTTTCTTTAATCTTATCTTAAATATCCCGATTTTATAACGCTATCCTTGTATATCTTATTATTGCTTACTTAATTTTTTTATACAACTGTACACCTTCAATTAAAATTATGAAGTAAACTTGTAAAATTGTAATTAAGCGTAGTAAATATATATTTTAATATACTTCACTATCAATATTTATACACTAATAAATAATCGACGAGTTTACACGTTTATATACATCTATTTTCATTTTTCGTATTAGCCTAAATGTGTAAGCTAGAACCATGATATTAAATTTAATCTGTATTTAAATTGTGTTTAACTGTGCTGTACAATTTAAAAGTTTTTTTTTTTTATAAATTTGTTCTTTTGTATAAATTGCTTTTTGCACTCTTGCGTTTTTATTAATCTTTTTTTTGAATATTGATATCTCTTCACATGTTTTCTTTTATCGTTACACATATAACTGTGCTAAAATATATTTTATTCTGTAAGAAGAAACAACACTTTCACTCATGTTATTAACATTTCTCATTAGACAGAGTTTTTAATTTTGCATTTTCTTTTTCTAAATCATTGATATGTGTTGTTTGCGAAAATATACTTTCCTTTGTACGAATACAAATGTACATTCGCTAGAATCATTTATCTCTAATGGAGCGGAAAGGAAATTGAACCGTACTTATTAAAATAGTAGCTTTGTGTCAGTCTTATGCAGTTGCATAATTTATCTATCTTTCTATAGGTTTATTTTTTTTAGCTAAAGGTTTCGCATGGTTTATCTTTCTTCCTTTTCTCTCTACGTTGAAGAGAAAAAGAGAAAAAATGAACCGTGCAAGAAGTTTAGCTAAAAAGAATAGGCCTTGTGACAAGCTATTTGTTTTTCATTATGGCGCGTTTTCTGCTCTATGGATATTTAAGATATATTTTATTTGTATTATTATAGAAAGATATCACTGTTTTGATTATTCTAAATCAGAAGTGTCCAGGTGTTCTGGTTTACGCTTGAAATTGAAATGCGTCAATATTCATGCCTATTATCATTCCTACTCACTTTATTGTTATTTTGTCGTAACGCGTGACGCTCGGTCTCAGGGACTACACTAGTCTGAAATTGTTAAAAATTTTTTACTTGCGTTAGTCACTATGTTTAAAAGTATATTATTAATATTATAAGGTATTACTAATATTCATAATATATTTAATTATAAAAATACATGAATTATATATATATACATATATACATACATACATGTATATGTATGTATATACAAATGTATATATGTATACATGTATATATGTGTGTATATATATATAACCAATTAATGTATTTTTATAGCTAAATATATATTATGACTAATAGTATCTCTTTGTATATTAATAATATTAGCAATAGAGAATACTTTTAAATACAGTAAATAATACAGGGTTAAAAACTTTTAACGATTTCAGACTAGTGTCGTCTCTGAGACCAAGCGTCGCGCGTTACAACAAAACAACAATGAAGTGAGGAGTATGAACGATAATAGACATGAATATCTACACGTTTAAATTTCAATCCAAAAGTACCCATTCTGAACAACTTGCTCTAAATAATATAAGGGACGTCTAAAGTCTTGTTTGACTTTAAACAAGTTTGATGTCACACGATAACTATACGAAAGTTTATCTTTGCAATATTCAAAATAAGTTGAATTGATTATCATAAAATTATTAAAAAATTACCGTCAGTCCCTTCTATGTATTTCTATGTCGCATTTCTATATTTTTGTGATGTTTGTTTTGTAAAAAATTATTTGCACATAGATAGTGGCTCTTTGGGTTTTCATGAACAGTCACGGCGAAATATCTGTATCTTACAAGGCAGTGTTCAGACATGATTATTAAGACCTAAATTGTGGCCTATATATTCGCTCTGTTGAAATCAATTAAATAAATAGTAATAATTCGCAATAGGGATCAATTGTAATTTCGTCATTGGCGAAAAATTCATAGTATATTATTGCAGACATCATAGCTTTATATATTTTTTACGTATCGTCACGTCTTATATATAAATATCGATAAAAATATCTGTAGCTATTATATTTTTTTTCTTTTATAAAAATCCCTGTGCGTTTGCCAACTTGCTTAATGGAGCAGATCAAAGTTTTTTATTTTGTAAAAAAGCAAAATCTCACGAAATGCAGCGTGGGCGGAGTGATGCGCGAGATGAAAAAGTGATATATAAGTTCGGTATATCTCTCCGATGTCTACAATATATGTCGTTTTACGTCGGTCTTTGCAATAAATAATTGGCTCTTACATCTCGATTGTCAGTTAGACAAGAATACAGAAGTGTACACTAAGGTCATTCATTAACTAGCTCACTATTAAATGTGTAAAAGTGATGTCATTATTCGAGCGTATACGGAGACGCTACCTTCAAAATCACGATGATCACAGCAATGAGAAGCATAAAAGTCGTGGACATTGTCCTGCAAACAGTTGACGAAGAAACTGCAATTTCTGATACTCGAGTAGTTTCTGTAATCGAGAAAAGAAAGTAAATGAATTATAAATTC